TTCTGACTAACGAGCAATCAATAGGTTTACCCTAAACCTGTTTAATCTATGTTGGTTGAATATTAATGCACAAATAAACTATTATTGGCGATCACTTGAATTATAATCAAATTAACCCTAAACAAGATTATTAATTATCTTATTAAGCGTGATTACAAGTACAAATTCCTTTTAAACATGCATAAAAGGCGTGATCAAGCAATAACAATAAATATATATCAAGCAACATAATAACAATCATAATCATAATAATAACAATTATAATCATAATTAAAATAATAAAATTAATCATAATTAACATAATCATGTTAAAGCAAAATAATAGCAAGATCCTAGGCATGATACTAACAAGATTAATAACAAACCCTAGCATGTCACTAAACATTAAAATTCAAAGCTTTAGTCCTAACATGATACTATTATGAATATTAGGAAGAGAATAAAAGGCATCATACTTTTAATCATACTTGATTTTAGAGTTACCCTAAACATGATACTAGGAAGATCAAAACGCCCTAACATAACAGTAGGAATCATAATAACAACCCAAGCATGATTTCTACATCATAATAACAATGTAAACAATTAAAGCACTTACTTTGATGCCTCGTACCTCTTTCACGTCTAGGGCAAGGCAACTTCGAATATGGCTAGGTGTATCTAAGTCTAATGAATGCGGAATTTTTATGTTTGAGAGAAGGCTAGTTTAGAAAAGAGAGGGAGAGAGTAATAAGAAAATCTTGATGAGAGTTGGTGAATATTGGTGAATAACTGATGATTGAAAACGGGGTTTTTACGACATTATTTATAGAGAAAATCAACCAAAAAGATAAAACATCAAAAACAAAGTTCTGACGCAAAAAAACCAAATTAGCGCCAAACGCTGACCTTGGCACCAGACGCTAAGGCTAGCGCCAGGCGCCAAGCGTAGCGCTAGGCGCTACAGCTGGCGTTTGGCGCTGACTCAGAAATTCACGCGTTTTCTTAAAATCAGATAGAAATTGCCGTATAGGAGGATAAAATCGTATTTTCCTCAAAAACGTTCTTTGATCTTAATTAAAACTCTAAAAAGTCAACAAAAGTCAATTTATCAATGCTAATTGAATTAGGAATGAAAAGAACTTTCTAGAAGAATCTAGAAGACTAAAATCATTCCTAATTGCATTAGGAATGATAAATCCATATTAGCCCTCCTCTAGATCATTGGGCCGCATATAAGGCTCAAACCGGGGCCCAGTTCAGTAATTTGGCCATAACTTCCTCAATATTCATCGGAATTGGGCTTATAATATATCGTCGGAAAGCTCTTTTCAAGCCCTATCCAACTACACTACTATTGGACCCATATCATGGACCAACCAAACTGGATTGACTGTTTTCTTAAAATAGGTTTTCAAAAACAGAGAGAAGAGAAAAGAAATTAAAACTTTCCGCAACACTAAACTTTCCACACTTTCACTTTATTCTATTATGATTCGACGCGAAAGGTACTCATCACCGGGTTTGGTTTTGGGGAGACACAAATGGGTGTCTACAACTAGCCCAAAGATCATTTGTCATATCTAGCAGCAAACAATGATGACCCAAAAGAACGAACTTATTATCTTCATAATAGTGATCCTTGATATATCTAGTAACGTAATTGCACTTATCGAAAACACAATTCCTTCATTAATAACATCAATTAGATGTACTAGGTTGTCTTTTAACAAAAAATAAAATAATTACAATCGGGTTTTCTTTTGCCAAAAAGCTTATATAAGGTTTTTTTTTCCGCAAAATGTTGCTTTCAAAAGATTTTTTTAGCAAATATTCCTAAATATGATTATTACTAGTGAAAATTAAGATCAATTATACTACGTAGTAATTGTTATTATTATTAGTAGTAATGCTAGTAAATTTTCTTATTTTATTAAGATTGATCGAATATTTGCTAAATGAATTTTTCTGGTAAAATTTGTTGAAACCCTTAATTGGAGGTTACTTTTTCTTTAAATTAGCTAATATGTCAAATACATTGAATTAGTTTTTCTTAATTAATAAGAAATAATGAATATGGGGCATTATTCATAGTTCAAAAGTTTGACACCAGCTTTTCAATCCTCCCTCCCCTTCCTTTATAATAGCGAATTAGAGATTAGTCTTATATGCACGCAATGCATGCTTGAACGTATGAAGCTCAAAGAACTTTTAAAAGGCCTAATTAACTATGTTGTTTTGATCTTTGCTAATTTTACTTTGTTTATTTTGTTATTACTTATTTGCATGCATCTTTTTATTGAATTAATTAAAACATTACAAATAAGAGTATAAATCGTTTTTTAATCTGATTACTTTGTATTATAAAAAGATCAAAATGAAACCATGTTTAATTAATTGTTATACATCTAAATAACATCATATTTAGATAAAAGGTGAGAAGACACGATCACTAGTGAATATCATCTGGACTTATGACTTGTTCTCTTCACCTAAAACAAGGAGATCCGATCTAATTTTCATAAGGTCTGATCTGATATGATCTGAATTTTTATTATTTGGTCTGGTTTGATTTGATTTAATAATTTGACTAAATTTTCACTACATTTTAATATTAATCTATAAAGAAAAACACATTGTTGTCAATATATATATCACTAGGTGAAAAAAGGCATTTGACAGCGGTTCAAACCCGATCTAAGACACTGGTTTGAACCGCTACCTATGTGAGGGGTGCCAAAAAGGGGGCCAAAAAGGCACCGGTTCAAACCGGTGCCAAAAACCCCCCAATAATCAATTTTTTTTTTTAAAATTAAATAAACTAGAATTAAATGAGGATACCAAATATGAATCGAACATCACAATCAATATAATTCAATCTATTCAATATATATATATGATCAAAAAAATTACAGTATAGATCAATAAAAAAATTACAGTATATAAATCAAAAAAAAAAATTACAACATATAAATAAATAAATAAAATTACAATATAAATCACAAAAAAAAAAATTACAACTTCACAATATATTGTATCTTGATTCTTCAACTTAAGATCTAAATCCATATATCTGCACCAATTAAAACAACCAAAATGAATCGATTAACATGATTTAGCTGCGAAAAAAATAAAAAATAAAAACCCCAGAAAATCGGAAAAAAAAAGAAAAGAAAATCAGTTTAAAACCTAGAAAAAAACCCAGAACATCAAAATCAAAAAATAAAAATATATAAAAAAAACTCAGAAAAAAAACCGATTAAAATAAAAATTAAAATCGAAAATCAGAAGAAAAAAAAACCCAGAGAATAAAAAAATTTCGAGAGAAAAAACCTAGAAATTAAAAAAAATCGAATTAAAATAAGTTTAAAAATCGATTAACCAAACCAGAAAATTGAAAATCACTTTAAAAAAACAAATTAAAATCGATAAAAATAACAAATAAATCGATTAAAATAAAATAAAATTCGAAAATCAATTAAAAACCCAGAAAATAAAAAAAAATCGAATAAAAATCAAGAAATAATACCCTAACCTTGCTCATGCATGTGTTCGTGGTGGATTAAACCAAAAAAAAATTCGAAGAAACCCATAAAAAATTTCAAAGACACTCATAAATCAATTAAACCCAAAATTAACTTCGAACAAACCCAAATCAACTTGTATTAACCCAAAATAATCAATTTCGAACAAATCCATAAAAAAAACACCCAAAAACGCATGCATTAACCCAAAATCGATTATTGTAGCCGAAAATTAACCCTGAAATCAAAAACAAAATCAAAAACGAAAAAAAATCAAGATCGAAATCAAAAAAATTAACCCAGAATAACCCACAAATCGAAAACACCCAGAAATCAAAATAGTTGAAATCGAAAGAAAAATTGAAATTGAAAGAAAAATCAAAAGCCCAGAAAAAATTGAAATCTTAAACAAAAAAAAAAAACTGAGAAATCGATAAAAAAAAATGCAATCAAATTTGATGGAAAGAAGGGTTTGAAAGAGAACGAGAAAGGGATTGAAAGAAGGGATTGAAAGAGAACGAGAAAGAGATTGAAAGAGGAGATGAAAGAGAACGAGAAAGAGATTGAAAGAGGAGATGAAAGAGAAAGGGATGAGAGAGAAAGGATGAGCGACGAAGTGTTTTTGTGAGTGAATTAGCTTTAGGGTTTGAGACTTACCTTATATATAAATGGAATAAAAAAAAGCCGGTGATTTTTTTAAAAAAGGAATGGCACCGGTTCAAACCGGTGCCTTTTTTATTTTTGGCACCGGTTCAGGGTGAACCGGTGCCTTTTCTCTTTTGGTAAAAACCTGCCCAATTCTAGACCGGTTTTGGGCACCGGTTTAGGCTGAACCGGTTCCATATGGGGGGTGCCTAATGCCTTTTTTCTACTAGTGTATATATATATATATATATATATATATATATATATATATATATATATATATATATATATATGATCTTGTTAGATTTGTTTCATTATGAGCTTTTCAAATATGTAATTTTCATAATTTTTTGTAATGCGCAATTAATGAAATCTAGCAATAAGTAAATGATAATTAAAATTTCTGAACTGGTTTGATTTGAATGTTTCTGATCTGGTCTAATCTGAATTTAATAAGGAATAAGTAATAAGTAACTGAAATAAGTTGAAGAGAACATGTCCTTAGATTCACCGTGAAGGCTTAGCTTAGACCCATAAGATCTATCATATTTGAATTGAATCTATCAAAACCTTAAAATGAGATCAAGATTAGATTAGTGACTCATTGTCATCCTTAAATAAATTCATATATAAAAAAAAACATATTATTTTTATACCAAGTAGGTTTTATCATTTCCGTAGCAATAAAAATGGAATATGTGATCCGAAATTGGTTACTCATGTCGGGCTCAAATTTGTGTCTAAGTGTTTGACTCATATATCTATATAGCTTGATAATAAAATGTCTATGATTTTGGTTCATTATGTTATGTTCATGTGTCGAAGTATCAGATATTCAACAAATATATTTAAGTTTGAGTCGTCGATATAAAAAAACATGTATTACAAACTTACAGTATAAATCACCAACAATAGACAACAAAATTTGTTGAACACCACCTCTTTTTAGTATTGTATAGTACACACGCACCCAAAAATTTTAAATCACACAAAATCATTGCACACAATCAAACTCTCCATGACTCTCTCAAGAACCAAAAGAAAAAAAATTACGTGCACAAAATTACAATCTCACACGGTACAATAGTGCATTATGCACAAACTGTCAAACCCTCACAAAAGAACAAAAATATGCTCGAACCATTGCATGTAAGTAAGCTGTCAAATTAATTAATAGCATAATTATTTATATAATAATGATTTGCTAGGGTAATTAACGTCTTCTAGCTGCAGTTTCTCTTTGACAATTGAAATAGGCAGCAGCAACAGGAAGACCTAGATCATTTTCGGCTGCGAATTGTCGAGTGTTGAAGTAATCCCTAGTCGAAGGTAGACTCACTATTGTTTGTCGACGATTCTGCTTAAATAGGATGAATATAAACCTGTGTATTCCTATGTTTGGCCTTGGGATTTCATATCGAACCATCTCCGATCCTGCATTATTGTTTGTCCAAAGAAACTTGTTCCATAAGATATACCGTTAATTGAATAGAGTGTGAGGAGGAAGGATATTTGAGGTATCATTCATCAACCATCTTACACTCGAGTATACCTAATATCTTACTACTTTCGTTTCTTTTTAGTTGACACGTATTCCTTTTTAGGAAGTTTTTTTTAGTTGACACATTTCTTTTTGAGGTAAATTTTTCAGCTTGCATTTACAAGTTACCTCACTTGCTTTTTCACTCTTTCTCTTCTCCTTAAAAATATATGCCTAATTCAAACGCGTCAACTAAATAGAAACAGTGGAAGTATTGTTTTTTTATTTATTGAGCGGACCTAATATATAAAAAAGTACATAGTTTATTTTCATGTTATACTCCGTAACATGTATAGAAAAATAATATACGTACCAAAAGTGGAGTCAGTTGTGCCTGGTATGTCCGACACTATCCTGCAAAATTAGTCATTTCATAGTTAGAACTTTGATTTCGTTACGATAAGAAAATTGTACAGTCACATTATAATGATAGAAATTCAACAAAATCATATACTTCAATTATTTTTTCCACCATACTATGGAGTACTATGTTAAGTTTCAAGGCTTCAATCAATGCTAATTGGTTCTGATTGATCAGATTTTCACTTTATCCCTACTAATATCGGCTCGTACTACACACTTGACCCCAATCTTTTCACCCTGTGATTAAATTGAATCAAATAGGAAGAAATAAGGTTGTATGATTGGTTGGGAGAAATTAACATATGCAAGAATGCTCTTTTTACTTTAGAAAGTCAATTTTTTTTACTCGAAAATGGTTTGTATTAGACAAAAATAATGATTTACTGGTATTTAGAATATACTCATATTGAATTGTTTACTTAAACTAGCATTATTTGAATATGCACATTTTAGCGTCAGACCATCTTAATGCGAGATTTTATAAGATTTAAAAAGCGGCTAGAGTATATGTCTAGCGCAATTGTTATTTTACATCCAATTATAACATTAATTATACCCAAAAGAAAAAGGAAGAGAGTATGGTTGTACCATGTATATGGTGCAACTTGTACCATGTGTGGTTTGCTATATAAGGATCAAAGTTTTTATAACAAAATAGTAGATGAACATTTGGAGATCATTCATGAAGACTTAGGGATTGATATAGAATAACACATATTCCTAACCTCAACCATCAAGTTAAGTTTTTGACTGAGTTGATTTTTTAGGTCTAGGATTATGTTTTATACTCTATCAAAGTGATTAAATTAATCATAACTTATTGCACCAAAAAAAAAAAAAAAGCACAACTTAAGAAGGTACATAGTGTAATCTTCGATGACATTGTGTGCTTAATTAAGTTTTTTTTTTTTTTTTTTTTTTTTTTTAAGGAAAAATTAAATTTATCTTGAATAATGGGATTCTCTTCTAAAAAGCATGATTTGATATTTGGCTCCAATTTGGTGTCAAGGTGTCATTTGTTAGATTGGACAATTACATAATTGAGTATTATATACACATTTCAAATTATTTATTTATGGTAGTCAAAATATATATGGGAGTCAAAATTATTTATTTATGGTAGTCAAATGTATAGTGTAAGGAATTGGTGTTATAATTAATTTTTGTTAATCAATCAATCAATTACATTATACTAAAGGCGAAATTTAGAGAACACTTGGCAAAATATTACTACCTCCGTTAAGTTTTATTTGCAACTTTGGGGTATTATTTGTGAGATATAAAATATTCCAAAGTTGCAAATAAAACTTAACGGAGGTAGTATAAAAAGTTTTCCCTCCAAAACCACTTATTAAAAAAAGCTTATTGTAATTAAATTATGACTTTTAGTTTGTATAAAATCTAAAATAAATGTCCTTAAATATCAAATTGCCCATTATTACTATTACATGTTTAATTAATTTCTTTCACAATATTTCATACTCCGTACTTTTTACTACTAAGTCTATTTATAATATTTATATCCATTATTTTTGGTAAAATTTATTGTCATTAGAATTATTTAACAACCGTGCATTGCACGGGGTTTAATCTAGTTATAAGTTCTAAGGGTGATAAGAGTCAAGTTTATTCCCGGTGATATCTCAAGTTTAATTAACTCAACTTATTTATGAGCCGAGTTGAACTAGCTAGACTCAATTTAAGAGACTTGTGACTTGTAAGCATATTCAATTTATTGATTATGAAATATTAGCAAAGACTTAGTAATGGTAATTGTATATTCATACCAATGAAGATGCTCTCTCAAATAAGGATCACTTGGTCCAGGTACATCTGGGTCTGTCAATACCTACAACCAAATATAAATTAACCATTAAATAAACATACCAATAACAAAGTTACTTATAATCATATTAATATCCTTTGTAGCTCTCGACACAACATGAATAAAAGACAACATGCTTGTCAAAAAAAAATGAATAAAAGACGCGTAAGAAATTTTTGGCATATAACTTCTCTAGTTTAAATGATCCCCTATTTCTAGGAGCATTGTTTCACCCCTTTCTCTCGCTCAATCTACTTAGTGTACTTTGTATATGAACCTACCAAGGTAAAGAAAGTTCTCATATCTTCACCATTGATATCGACCCGAGGTTTGGAGGCGACGGAAGAAGGAAGAAGCTCGGAGCCATTGAAAACCTGCTTATTGTTATAGTTGACACACATTTGTACGGATGGGTTGAAGGGATCGATCACATCTCCTATCACCCGTCCTACTATTAAAGGTTCTATCATCCTTGCCATAATGTTTTTGATGTTTCTCGATTACTTAATATTATATTTTATAAGAGATTCTCTTATAAACAAAGTATGGTTTGCATATTTCAAGGATGTTTGCGCAGCCTTATATAGTTATAATTATACTGTTATGAGATACCCTAACCTACCAATAATATTTATATAGTTGTATATGTCTACTACTTTATGCAATTATGCTTAATGCATGTATTGATTTATGTATAGTCCTAAAAAAAAAAAAGAAGATTATGTATATGCAAATATATATATATATAGTACTTTTACTTGAATTGACTTGGGAGGTCGTACTAAAAAAAGACATTATGTCGTGATACCAATTTTACTTAGGTTCTGTTCTTTTGAGCTTCTGGGCAAAGTAGAGTAGAGCAGAAGTCACCAGAGCAGAACATAGCAGATTTCAGCAGAATAGAACAGAGTAAAGCCGAGCCGAGCAGATTTCATTATTATTAATCAAATAGGTGAGTAAATCAAATCCACCCTTAATCTAACAATATGTTTTATTTGTATATCTTGCATTCTTGCAATTTGAAGACTAAGGCCCTGTTCTCTTCACCTTAAAAAAATAATATTAAGGCCTTGTTCTCTTCACCTTAAAAAAATAATATTAAGTAAAAATAATTTCAGTTCAGTAAAAATAAGTTCAGTTCAGTAAAATAAATTTCAGTTCAGTAAAAATAATTTCAGTGTAGTAAAAATAATTTCAGTTCATCAAAATTCAGTTTTATTAAAGAATAATATAAAATCAGTAAAAATAATTTCAGTTCAGCAAAAATTATTTCAGTTCAATAAAATTAATTTAAGTTCAGTAAAAATAATTTAAGTTCAGCAAAAATAATTTCAGTTCAGTAAAAATAATTTCAGTTCAGTAAAATTAAGGTGAAGAGAACGGGGCCTAAGTAAAAATAATTTCAGTTTAGTAAAAATAAGTCCAGTTCAGAAAAATTAAGTTCAGTTCAGTAAAAATAATTCCAGTTCAGTAAAAATAAGTTTAGTTCAGTAAAATTTAGTTTTCTTAAAGAAGAATTATAATAGAAAATCAGTAAAAATAATTTCAGTTCAGCAAAAATAATTTCAGTTCAGTAAAATAATTTCATTTCAGCAAAATAAAGGTGAAGAGAACGGGTCTAAATGGGTCGTGGTGTTTTTCATCTTTACATACCCTCCCCTATATCCTACACCAAGAAGCCATACTTATTAAATTGAATTGAGCTAGGATGACATGTGTAGGGTTCGGACAAGAATGTAGGCCTTAAAAAAAGGGGAACTTGAGGCAAATAACATACCCTAGTTATTAGGATTTTCTTTATCCTATTCACACATTCGTAAGAGTCCATGATTTGAATAGAACCTTAGTTAATAGGTTCTTTCTCCAAATTATTATTTGTTACATTTAGCCTCATTCTAACATTTATTGAAATGAGCATATTATTTCTTTGGAAATTTTGTGTAGAACTACCCTAAAGTTTGAGGCTGTTGAAATCCATTGTATCCTACTTGTGAGTGTCCCACCACTACAAGAAAATGACATTTTCGTAGCGATTATTTTAACCTTTAGTATCGATTGTAATTGCAACAAAAAGCTTTCCCAACGAATGGTAGTCATTTGATACAATATCCCCCGATGCTTTAGCCTTTAGTAGTGGTTTTCAATATCGATGGGGTTGGCCTCAATAATCGATACGAAAAACGACATCCAATTGTGGTGATTATTGTAGCGATTACAATCGCTATAAATGTTTAACTCATTTTCTTCAAAAAAAAAAAAAACATGCGTATGATCTTTACAAGATTCGAACATGCAACCTCAAACTCTTATACTACGTATTAAATGTTTCACCAATAAGCTATGACGTATTTTATGCATTCTTTGTCAAACAATATTTATATATCTAGTGTTGAAAAGGCTTTTCGTAACGATTTTTAGGATTTAGTGGCGATTGTAAATGATACGATTTCTCAGAATTATAAAAATGTGTAAAAATAGTGTGGATATGTATTATTATGTTTTCCGTATCGATTTTATATGGGAAAACCATGGCGATTGTAAAATGATACGACTTCCTTAATTATTTCACAAACATACTTGCATATTGTAGCAAATGTACAATCGCTACGAAATAATCGCTGCGAAAAGACATTTTTCTTGTACTGCACATTGGAGAAAGAGAATAGGTAGTTCCACTTTATAAGGTAGAGGAGTTACTCCTACTATTGCCAATTGGTTTTAGTGTGGAAGCTCCAAAGCCTAATTTGTGGACCAAACTCTCCTCCTCCTTATTTGGGTTGCCCAGACTCATTTCATATTGTTTCCAAATTTAACATGGTATCAGGGCCCAGGTTATGAGTTTCTTCTAAACTGGGTATTTAATCGCTACTGGATAAGGATTTACCTCGACAGGATGTCCAGCCTCTAAGAGGATATTTGATCTGGCCTTATCCAGTTAGCTCTGAATTTCTAAGGACACTCATAAGTGAAGGGGGAGAGTTGAAACCCACTGTAGCCCACTTATAAGTGTCCCACATTAGAGAAAGAGGAGAGATGATTTCACTTTATAAGGTAGAGGAGTACCTCCTACTATTGTCAATTGATTTTAGTATAGAAGCTCCAAAGCCTTGTTTGTGGACCAAACTCTACTCCTCCTTATTCGGATTGCCCAGACCCATTTCATATTGTTTCGAAAATTTATCATGGTATCAGAGCCTAGGTTTGTTGGGCTGTCTAAAACTGGGCATTTGTCAAGCCACTTGTTAATGGGCCTCTATTGGATGTTCATTCCCAAAGAGGATTTATATTGTACCTTTTGGTGTGTTCTAAGTTCTAAGGACAATCACAAGTGAGGGGAAGTGTTGAAACCCATTGTATCCCACTTGTGAGTGTCCCACATTGGAGAAAGAGAAGAGGTAGTTCCACTTTATAAGGTAGAGGAGTTACTCCTACTATTGCCAATTGGTTTTAGTGTGGAAGCTCCAAAGCCTAATTTGTGGATCAAACTCTCCTCCTCCTTATTCGGGTTGCCCAGGCTCATTTCATATTGTTTCGAAATTTAACTGAGGCATTTGTGAACAACGACCCATTTTTTTATTTGTTTAGAACTACCCGCAAGTTTGAAAAAGTTTGGATAACACTACCCACTAACGTTTTCGTCTAATTAAAACATTATTTTGGCCCAAATTTTCATTTTTTTTTTAATTACAATGGCCAATTAATACTAAAATAAGCAAAAACCCCAATTTAATTAAACCCCCAAACCTTAGAAATCAAAATCCCCAAATAATACTGAACTCATAAACCCTAAAATGAATTATAATCAAAACCCTAATTGGGTTAATTAAGGTAAATTAAAACCTTTATACAAATTGGGAGAGTTAATTTGGTGACAAAAGTGAAAAAAGTGGGCTCCGATAACGTCTTAATTAGACTGAAAATGTTAATGGGTAGTTCTACCCAAACTTTCAAACTCGTGGGTAGTTCTAAACAAATAAAAAAAATGGGTAGTTGCTCACAAATAATCCTATCTTTAGGGTAGTTCTACACAAAATTTCCTATTTCGTTGGTACAAAGTAAAACTTAAAGACACTAACATATAGAAAGGAAAATTTATGCGAGTACGACGACAGTATGAGAGTATATATGCATTGCCAATGAAATAGTGTGTTTTGAATTTGAACCAACATTAAAATCATCCTTATAAGACCAACATACTAATGATACTATTAATCATTTACTATAACTGTAATTATCCATGAACTATCGAAGTCAATTAATGATGCAAAACTCTGATGAGGTTTTACTTCATTCAGTCAAATCTATACTTAGTATTTAAAAAACCAAACCAAAAAAAACATATGTCATCATTCTATTACACTTCACTATCATCTTCTTCAACTCAATGTGCCACATGTCATTTTATATTTTTTATTTTTAATTATACAATTCTTCTTAACTCTTTCATTAAACACTTTATCTTCATCTCCCCTCTTTAATTCAACCTTTTTATTTTCTCTCTTTGATTTTAGTCCCTCCATCTTCTTTCTATTAAGTCTTATTTTAAATTAAAGTCCCAAAATTTTATTTCTTTAATTATGTTTTCAGTTACATATTACACTCATAATTATTTATTGGTATTTCCTCACCCATCTCTCAATGCAATTTTCTATGAACAAGCTGTGCATTGCATGGGCCGAAAGGCTAGTTAAGATTAAATAAGATGCTAAACTATCTAATTAAATTGGATTAAGGAAATGAATTTGAAATCAATAACATCAAATAATATCAGATTTTGCTTAGCTTAACCTAAAAGGCATATGTATGTGACCACTAAAACTAGTTAATGCTTTTTTTTTAGAGTAAACTCTGTAAAGGGGGTCACAACTTACAAAGGGCAATATTGTACACAATAATATAATACAGTCATTCGATTTTAGTTCTCAAATAACTAAAACTTTAACCAATTTAGTTAGTTAACATTTTTTTAGAATAAAAGGATCTGATCAGGGGGACAAACCTCAAAATTAAAACATAGAAATAAAAACTACTTGGATTATAAGCTTAACAAAGGGCCTTGGTTTATTTTAATCTTAGAAATTTTGTGTGATGCTAACATTCACAACTCAATCCGTAGCTCTGTTCTATTTCCTTCTCGGCACTCATATCATTACGATCCATTTGCACAATCAAATTACGAACATTATTCATCCTCCTTGCCAAGTCCAATTCCGATTTAGTTATGATAGATTATAAAAACATATTCCTAGGTCTCAAGTATCAGGTTAAACCTTTGATTATTAAGTTGGTCTATAAACAAGTTGTAAGTTGATAATTACTTATAATACGTATTCCTTTAACAAGATAAATTGATAAAAATGGGTATTTTCTGCGCATGGGGTGATGGAACCTTATATTTTACAAGTGGACCAACTACAAATTATTCATTGGTTACCTTTGGAATTTGTTCCAGATAAGCCTCACTAATTAGCTATAATTATTAAGTTTTTTTCATAAAGGGAAAAAAAACACAAGTTATAAGCATTTTTTGAG